TTGAGGGAGGCGATCCACTTTCTTCCGAAATCGGAGCTAAAATTAAAAAATAAGTCTTCGATCGAAATCAAATGTTCATTTACTACAACGAATATCCGACTTTTCAGTTGAATTCAGTAGGATAGTTGAAGGCATTGTCAATGAACGTTTTGATTTAACATCGGGGACCATCGAATCTTGGGTTTGAAGATATCGAAATCTGCCGGAAATATCAGCTGTACTTGGCTCATTTATATTATGCTTTGTTAAATTATCAGTTGATGTTATCTTCGGTTGTTGGACGAACGTTTTAGACATCGATGATATTGTTCCAGTTTTCGTTAAACGTCGTTCGGCACATTGATAACTATCAGTATTGGCAACAGATGATGGAATTGAATGAGCACGGACACGATAGGTTTCCCAACCGAAATCTTTCAATGACATTGCACCGTCGGGGGTTTGAGCGATTAAACTTAATCCATAGAATGCCGTTCTAATTCGTAAAAGATGTTTAACTTCATTCAATATAAGAGAGAAAAGTAAAATTTTACCCCCGAACAGATAAATTCTGACATTCTTCTGCAAAGCGTAGGAAATCTGCTAATAAATCTTTCTCCATGAACCATGTGTAACCATTTTCAGTACTTGCTGTGTGCGCTAATGCCCATAATGCTTCTTTAATTGCACGTGTTTCTTCTAAATTAATACAATTTGTTGGATGCTGCTTCAATTCCGTCGCGTAATCTTCTAAACGCGATTGTGTACACAATAAACGAAATCCCTCGTTGTGAAGACATAGTTGCCGGTAAATATGTGATGAAACATGGATGTTAATTCGTTTCCGTTTCACTTTTCCTCCGGCCGTCGGAGTTTTCCGTCGTTCGAAATAATCATCGGTCAGCAAAGCGCCACCGGAGTACGCACCGAATAATCTTGTTTCCATGTAAACCATGTAGTCACTGTTAAAGACTTGATCCCAGTAATAAAGTTCTTCACGAACCCTTGCTAAGTGTTTGTCATTCGATGGAATCTGTTGAAACGGAATCGAAGAGAAACGCGCCGAAAGTAAATGATAAATCTTATTTAAATAGGCACTTTTGTTACTCAACGATTCCAATGCATCCCATTGTTTATGACACAAGTAGACCAATCTCTATTGAATAGTTCTTTGTTTTTTGTTTCATGAAGAAAATCAATTACTTTATCTTCGAGAGCTTCGTCAAGAACCGACACTGTTTCCAGAACGACACTCTGATCTGTATCGTTTAATTGTGAAGTTAGAAGGTTCAAACCCCATTGACCAAATGCCACTGGATTGCAACGTAGAATCACACGAAGAAGACTGGTGCTATACAAACGAAGCGCCTGAAATGAATTTCCGTTACGATGGAGTTCTCATTCGATTTTGTAACTTACTGTACATGATGATCGAAGTGCTTGAGAAAGATAATGACGACATGGTCCTTCGTAGTAATAATTGAACGATGACAAAGCGACGATCGCCGATGTGGCAAAATCATCGTCCATTTTTAACATATCCAGTAGACTTGAAAGAAAAGTAATGAAGGAACGCGAGAAATGAATTTCAATTTACCGAAGGAATATTTCTGCTTCAGCTAGAACTTCAGTTCCGAACGATGTCTTACTTAACCGTCCGAGGAATAAGTAGTAATAAACTGCATTCCTCGATAACAAATCATGGTCCATAATCAGCGCTTGACCAATGCCTTCTCTCATTGCAAGAATTGACTGTGAACAAAGAGAAAGATGTTTCAGATACCGATCCAACGAAATGTTTTACTTGTTTTAGTGCATTACTGATGCTCATCAGCAATGCTCGAGCAATGTTACTTGCGATGTACTTAATATGATTCGAGGATATTCGTGATGGGTAGAGTAAAAGATCAGAAAAGGCGATTAAGCACCGACAAGTGACATCTGATAAGGGATCAATTAACTGAATATTTCGAAAACCACCTTTTTGTTCCGGTTTGAAAAAATCGTATAACTTATCCAAGAATCTAACAGAAAAAAAATCAACATTTTCGAATCGAAACAAAACGACAATCTACCTTTCATAGAGATCACCTTGGATTTGATTGGAAATTTTCGGAAAATCCTAAGAAAAATCGTCAAATCGCTCATATTCAATTCCATATCTAACCTTCAACAAAGCTAGAATCAGATCCCAATTCCATTTCTTATAATCATCTCTCTGCAACGTATTCGTATCACCAATTAGATTATCAATTCGTTCCGCAGCTAACTAAAATACCAAAAGGATTCGTTTGTTCAGTCAATCTCGGTCAACTTACAGGATCATCTGGAACTCCACCCGACTTCTTTCGTGTCGATTCGATAACGACATTCTGCGGTAGAGTAAAATAATCATTGAAATGTTGAGAATGATAAATCAACTGTGCTAATTGAAATGAATGTGTATAACCTGTTCGTTTATTAAATTCAAAGAATGTATTGATATGAAGCATGGCTTCCTTAGCAAAACTAAATCGAGAAGAAAATACAGAATTTCCTTCGGATATGAACATATATCATACCTTCGTTTAAGACTATTATCATCCGCTATCGCAATGTCCATCAGAAGAGGTAAAAGAAGAAAACTCTGCTCTTCAGGAAGATGCTCATTACACTAAACGATTCGTGTCGATGCTTTACGAAACAATCAATTCGATCTTACCAGCCAAATGAAATTTGCGAGAAGAAGTGTAGCACGAATGGATAAGATTGTATTATCGCATGACGCAACCTCTGTAATAGCCTAGAGAAAATCAAATGAAGTCTGAAGGAACGAGAACTAGAAGTATACTTCAAGAAAACCAGCATCAATGAATGTCAGAAGCATCAAAGCCATATGACTATCGAGTAGGTTCGGTCTAGAAAATCAAGTAGATGGAATATTTATTAACGAAAAATGCTAATCGACCTTGTGGATGATATTCGAGGTATTTTTGCTGCTCCTTCGCTCGCAACATAAGTATAACCTTCTTCTACTGTCGTTAAATTCCAAACTGGATCTAATACAAAAGCAAAACATCCTATTCGATCTTTTATTCAATTAAAAACCTACATATAGATTGGAGTGCAGCTACGTAACTATCACATGGTGCTGGAGTATCAAGATTGAGTAGATCATACAGGAGATCGAGTAGTGCCATCTAAATCCTACATATTAAAGATTATTTTTTACGAAAAATCTTGGAGCATACCTTCATTGGTTCGGATTGAGCAATGAGCGAATTGACTAATAAACGAACTGACGAATTTTTCGATTGACAGAATGCTGTAAAACCAATCCAACTGTGCAGAATTGTCACCAAAGCGGTTGTACATGATTTCAAAGTTTTCAATTTTCCTGCATCTTTTACTGTTAAATTCTGGTATCTATAATTAGTTAATGAAAAATAAAACCACGAATTTTAATCGATTCTCTTACGCTGCTGGTGTCATTCCACGACGATCCGTACTTTTCACGTTTCCCTTTTCACATAATGGAAATACCGCAACCAATTGCTGAAATCGAACCAAAATATAACAAAGATAACTCGAATTGCTTTACTCATTACCGAAAACATATTTCTAACAAATTCATGTCGTTGTCTCATTCCTTCATCCACGAAAATCAATGCTGGTCCGTTGGGATCAGTTGCATCGACAATTGTTGGTTCGCTGTTGTCATTAATTGTAAAACGTTCTATGGAATGTAACAAAGCGTAAATGACACTTTCGATTAATTCGTCCTGTTCGAAATCGACGATGAATTTCAACATGGTATTGATTACGTGACATTCTTGTAAAATATGAGGATTGTGAAGAGCTTAAACAAAAGACAATTGGTGATGATGATGAGGAGGAGGAGGAGGAGGAAATGAAATGTACTGTACCAATTTCGCATAGCAATTCTAAGGAAGTTTTGATCATTTGATCCGACTGCTTGGTTGTTGTTGTTGTGGTACTGGATAGAACAATTGAATCGAGAATATAAATAAATGAATGTGGGATTTGTTTCGGATACAAATGAAGAAAACGACGAATAAATTTGTAAGATTCGAATCGTTCACGAGCATTTCCATGATCGATTGCCAATGAACTGATCATAAAAAGTAAATAAAAGCTCAAGAACTTATCGTGTTCGTGTCAACTTACCGACAAATCAAATAATCTAAACGATATTGAAGAAATTTCTCAAGAATCATTTCTCGATGAATCGAATAACGAAGTGCACGAATCGACGCAGCTCGAACACGTTCCACATCACTCAAAAGAAGAAGTTGTAATCTAAATGACGAAATTTTCAAGTTTTATCTCAATAGAAACTTCTCTCCTTACCCAAAAATGATCGCTCCGTCTTCACTGCTCGATTTCGCTTGTACGGCAACATAATATGTCATTTCATTAAGTAAGGCACTAAGAGGTTTCTTTGGTACATCGTAAGGTGAAGAGTAAATCGATGCAGCAGCAATCTGATTGCACAAATGAGAAAATGTTAATGACATTTTCAATTCATTCGAAGAAACGTTATTTAATCATAACGAGATTTTCTTATCAATCTAAAAAATAAAGCAACAAACATACGGAAAAGTATTTTGATGAATTTATGCGAAATTGGAACATAAAATGTTATCAACGATAGACAAAGAAATACTATTGAATGATATCTCAAGTAGATTCTAACCAATGAAATTTGCGGAGTGAAATAAATGAAGAATAATATTCAACATGTCGACGGTAAATATTATCTCACGAAGAGAACGCTTATTATCAACAAGAAAGAAAACTTTTTCTAATGATTACAGTTATTTACGTACCATATGTTTCACATGAAATTGATCTAATCACGCACCTCTGCTACATCTCAATGTCAGAGGTAAGAGATGACAAGACTTGACTTCGTTGAAAAGAAATTATTTCACTCAGTATGACGCTGCTTTGTTTTTGTTTTTGTTTATGTAGAAAATCAAATAATAACAAAACAGAGAGATGATTGTTTAATAAATCTATTAGGAAACACTCGAAGATGCTCGAAGAGCTGCTTCAGCACAGTCAACTTCGATTTGAAATTCAGCTTTTTCTTTATCATCCTGAGCAGATTCTAATCGTCGTCGAGCATCAACTAGTGCATCTTGACATGCCTAAAAACAAAACAATCGAATAATTCTCATCTTCGAAGATGAATAGTCTTCAAATACTTTCATATCGAGATTTTCAATCGTTGTCGCTTCTTCTGCTAACAATTGAACACCCGAATCAGGATGAACGGCTATTGATCCACTGCTTACTGAAAATATTCACATATCATTATGACACTTTCATTGATTTGATCAACATACCAAAAAATCTTTTCGTATTTCCATCAGATTCAAATATCGTTACGACACCAGGTTTCAATACACCAAGAAGAGGAGCAGACTGAGCTGAAATTGAAATTCAGTTTACAGATACTTCTTTTTCTGCTATGATTTCGAAGATACCAGGAATGACGATATTTCCACTTAGTGTTGGAACGTCAACTTGTCGAACGTTCTTTGACTGATTATAGAAAACCTTATTGAATTAAAATCAAGTAAATATTAAGTTTTTCTTTGGAAATTACTTCTGCCGGTGACGCGAATGTAAAACTCATATCAGCTACTGTTGAAGTCGTTACAGAAGCTTGTGTTTCAATAGACATAATTCTGAAAAGATAATCACAAATTACAAATCAACTTTGGTTCGATCTATCGTGATCGGGAAGTAAATCGTCATATTTCACATCTTATTCAAAAGTTAAAATATATTCATAATGGCTTCGATCGAATGAAAATTGAAGATCGCGAGGGCGCTAGATGTCAACTACGTAATAGTATAAATAGATGCTTATAGTGTGAATAGTATGAGGCCTACACAATATTTCATTGGAGGCTGTGAGGGTGTGGTATAAATATGTCTGTTTAAAATCTATAAGAGTTCAGTCACAAAATCGACAGAGCTCTGTTTATTGGCGTGGATCTCATTTATATCCTGACTTCTTTTTATACTATGATAAGATGTGTGATGGAGTATTTCGTATTATTTATGATTATCTTGACGGCCTTTTTCTAGGTGAAGTCGACTGACATTAGATCATAGAATGTTCTTTTTCGTATATAAATACGAAGTATGATTTGGAACGGAATATTTCTTCACAGATGGATTTTTATTGAATTGAAAGAAAAAAATCTTGTCTCTTAGTTATTCAACTGAAATTGTTCGGATAAAATTGGATCGTTTCGAATCTTATCAATTCGATTTCGGATTCGATTTGTGTAACTGAATCATGAATTTCTTGAATCGTTCGTTTTTCGGTTAAGGAAGGAATATTTGAATAAACAGAAAGCAAAAGCATTATTTTGACAGAAGAAATGGATGGGAAAAGTTTGGACTAATGTACTATAGTAAATGTGTATCTAATTCGAAGTAGATCGTTATTGATACTCTTATGTTGTAAAAGAACGTGTTCAACAAAGATCGATCAGAAATCAATCAATCGGTAAATTAGCGTGCTCTATTGATTGTACATTCTAAATGGTGTATACAACGATCATTGGTGATAAAATTGTTAGCAGACAAAGACAGAAATACAATACAATAACAATTACATGGGTAATATTACAAGACCGAAGTTGAGCCGAACGCCGAAGGAGGTCGGATCGGTTGATTGAACTACATGATTACCCCAAGTAGATAAATAAAATTATATTCTTCTCTTGCCATTTAATTAAAAACTGTGTCTAAAATGTGGTCGTTTTGGAAATTTAATGTATTTCTCGAGTTTCTCGAACTTTTGTGATATATATTGAAACATTTTAGATAAAATAACCTTGCTTATTGAATTTATTCGTGATCGCGTATGTGGAGTGAATCGTTGAACGCTGATTATCAAAATCAAATCAACAAGAAGTACATAGCAGGTGCAATGAACTCTTTTTGTTCTTCTATCAATCGTTTGATCGTTGATGAGAATAAAGTTGGTGATACTTTCATTTTGGTGTTCAAGGATGAAATTGGTATACGAAAACTCGCTCATCATGCTATACTTATTGATGTAGCCGGTGCAAGTGATGAAATTTATCTTAAGGGCATTCTATTACATTTGACATCTGATCAAGCAACTCGTAAAAGTAAATTTCGATATGGTGACAAACGAAGAGCACGAACTGACTTCTATGAAGTTGACTATATTGGTTAACCCAGGTCATTGTGGCCCGATTGGTTCCGACCGGTTAAGTTCGTTTTTCCGACGACTTCCTTGCCGCTGGAAGTTGTTAGCGATAACAGATAGTACATTGTTATCGCCATCTTTTTTTCTTTCTCTTCTTGTTGAGATCTATATGTCCTATGTGCGGTTCGATGCCATGATATATAGATCTCCTTTTTCTCTCTCTGGTTTTCTCTCTATGCCGCCTGTCTGACCTCTCTTTGAACTTGTAAGATCAGACAGGGCCAGTTGTCTTTGAACTGTGATCGACATCGGTCGTTTTCTTTTTTTTCTTTCTCTCGTCGTTTATCAATAAACGTTATTACGAAGACCTCGATCACGTCACTCATTCCTCGAACTCCGAAGTAGGACAACCACATACTAACGGAACCGATACAGATCATCAGCTCTTTCCGTTACCTTCCGTTCCGCCTATTAACGTCTAGTGGGCAGGAGTCTTTGGATTGTAAGGATTAGCTAACAGAAGTTCAAACGAAGTTTCCAGTCACTTTTTGCAAACTTCCCAACGGAATCCGATCGAAACCTGCTGAATTCGGCTGGAATTATACCTAAACGGACTCAGGTATAATTGGATCCAGTCACCGGAATGATCGACCTAGAAAGTTGTGCCAAGTGGAAATATAAATATAACAAAACCAATAGAATGGGCTTGGTCTTTGATTTTGCGGGTAAGTCAATGAATTGCGAACGTAGTGAGTGATTTGTACAATAAATATTTATTAAAGGGAAATAATCTTTTTGATGAACTTACACATAATGGAACGAATAAGAAATGGTCATCGTCAGTCAACTGTCAAACGTTCTGCAAAACCTTTCTTCGTCATTTTGGTTTTCGATGGCCTGGTGATTAGTGGCGGAGCCAGGATTTTATGGTGTGCTGGATCTTCGTTTCAGAGCATGGGTCCCACTTAAAACTCATGGATGATAATATTGGTGGCAAACTATGAGTTTCTATCGAGTAATTTTTGCAATCGAAGTTTGCCAAAAAAANCTCGTATCCAATTGCCAGTCTTTCATAAAAGCAAAAGTTATTCCATATACAACAATCTAGGACTGAGTGACTTGTGTTCTAATCAAGTCATTTATTCACTTAAATCAAATAGGAAATAGAAGAACATATGAGAGCAGAAAATCATGAAATTTACATAAAAACAATGATATTTTACGTCAAGTCACAAACACTATTCGGTATCTGACGAAAAAAGAAATCGCGCACGTGGCCGTTTTCGAATACGACGATTACCCAATCGAACCAAACGAAGTAATCTTTGTCGAGTGCGTCTTCCTAGAGTCGGATTTTGTGGCACTTGTCTAATCGAAGGTTGAGGTAATGACACGTCAGCATGTTGCTGCTGTTCTATTGGTATTTCTAATGGATAGTCAGGCAATTGCTGCTGTTCTTCAATTGCCGATGACGATTGTTGTGGTGCTTGATGTCCAGGTATTGACGATTGTTGCAGTTGTCGTAGCTGCTGTTGAAGTATCTCTATTCGTTGTTCCAATTGTTGTCTCTCTTGTTGAGACTCGTGCTGCTGTTGTTGAAATTGTTGAGACAACTGGAATGCAAAAAAAAAGACAGTGATCGATTCGATGGCATTCAATCACTTACATTCGCTTGCATTGCTTCAGCTAACTCTTGTTCGATTGACTTCGGCTAAAATTCAAACTAAGAGAAATTAAGTCAAATAAAATAGTCAACGAAGATGATCGAATCAAATGCATATCAAATTTATCGAGTGGAATCATTTGAAAACATGCAAAATCAAACCAACGATGAAGAATCTTAATCATGGTTACAATCAACGCTTATACTCGATGGAATTTCTTGCATCCTTCAGAAGGTGAAAACAATTCTACATAGAAGTATTCATCAAATAACAAATCGAAGAAAATATATACAAATTATGAATTACAGATAGATAGCAGATAAATGCAAGCGACAGCAATAAGCGGACATACAAGAAGCAACTAATGCACAAAGGTAGATTAAATGAGGAAAATCGCTCTAGATTTCTACGGATAATCTCACTCTTTGGCTATGCGACTTACGATTATCGATATTTGTTTGTACAGACACATAAGTAAATGTTGAAATGTGCTATTGTATTATTTTATTGAAAGATAAAAGTTCTTTACTGAGTTTGTTCGCACCAGAGCTCCGAATAGCAAGCGTACAAACCAGAATCAGAATGTATGGAACACTTGCAATATTTGAAATACACTCTGTTTTACACTTTGTTGCCAAAAACGGCATGTACACGCTACATTTTGCTCAAAAGATTTACATTTTGTTTTTTCTCGAAAAAATCAATTGTATATCGTTCGTTTTGATATTTTTATCGACGAATGATGAAACAGTCCTGAGAATGGCCTCTTTTGGTCAATTTTAGACATGATTCGATCGTTGTTTTTCATTTTGGTCCATATGTCATGTACTTTCTCGAGAACATTTTTCTACTTGTGTCAGATTGAATATCGTGCACAGATTTTCTGTTTATTTAGTACTATCGATTTGTCCTGCATTAGCAATCAATTGAAACTGAATATATCTTTATTTTTCTAGATAAAATAATTTAATTCAGTCTGTACACTTTGTACACTTTACTTTCGAAAACAGAGTGTATATTTACATTTTGGTATGTTAAACAACGTGTACAAAAACACTTTGTGCTTGATTTCCATTCGGAACCTTGGTTCGCACTTAAAAAAAGGAAAATTCATAACGAAGACTAACTTCATTTAGAATTCAGTAAACGAGATGAGTCTGAAAGAGAAAAATGTCATATTTTATTTCAAGAACAATATTTCAGCTAAAACCACACATCATTTTATGTATTAATCAATCAACTGAAGGAATCTGCAGATATATGTTCATTATTCTTTACTACAGATATAATCAGAGATACCATGAGTATGCATATGAACCTTTATACACAATAAAATAGATGTCACTTTTTTATTTAAACAGAGAAAAGATACATTTCAATTTTTATAACGTACAAAGATTATTTTGAATTTTAAATCAATATATTTTGATATAGTTTGAACTAAAGATGAGTAATTATTGACTAATAGTATATTTTTATTTATAATAAAGAACATCCATGTCTTGTCTTCCTCCTTTCTCACTCATTTATTTACATAAATAGGCAGAACACAACAAAATGATGCTTTACCAGAGAGAATCACCTGTATTCATTTTCAAAATGCTCTTTTAAAATAGAACTTCATTTTCGATTACTTTCAGAGGAATTATTTTTCTTTTATCAATCAATAGATAACAAATTGTGTAAGTTGAAATCGAACTTGTTTTTTCTTTTAATTTCCAAATAAATAAAATCAATAAACCATTTATAGAATAAATGAGTCAAGGTCAAAATCCCTATGGTAATCCATATCCACCAGAAGGTGGTTATCCTGGATATCCAACTCAACAGTTTGGAGGATATGCAGGTCAACCCGGTGGGTATCCAGTGCCACCTCGTATGTTTCTTTTTCAAATTTATCAGGTCTATGTACTCAACTTTCTTTACATGTAGCCAATGCCTACGGTCAAAATACAACAGCGTATCCACCACCTCCACCTGTTTTACCACGTCCAGATGTTCCTAAAGGTTAGTTTGATTTTCTGTCTGATATGTGTAGATAAATTCCCACTCAATGGTCTCGTTTAATAATTATTTTTACGAAGAGAATTTAATCACATAGAAGAACACACGGATATTGAAATATATATGCAACAGGAAGAAGGGAAAGAAAATTTCCTAAAGAGTACGTGTATTGATACTAGCTGCTGTGCCTTAGACATCTGTCAATCATTTTCTCCTCGCTGAAATGCTATTTTTCAGCAAGAAATTCCAATGATTTTTAAACCTTTCATTTAGATGATACTGGTAAGTATCGATAATATGTTCGAGCATACGCACTTTTGTGAAAGACTTTAATCACACGTGAGCCATAATCGTTTTTCTCGAGATTTACATTAAAAAACTGTTTACAAACAGCATATGACTTGGTTTCGTGTAGTAGAAAAACGATTAATATGTCGCTTGCATCATTTCTTAACTCTATCGCTTTGCTAATATAAAATATTGGTTAATCTGAACATTAACTTTGATAATAATTGACTTTCTTTCACTAAATAGATGATGAGCATGGTACTGGTGAATGGGGAAACTTTAATGGTCTTGAAAGCAAAGAAATTCGTCGAGTTTTTATTCGAAAGGTATGTTTAATGATGATCAATGAAATGTTTTCTATTGGATTATGTTCAATAGGTTTATTCGATTCTTTCAATTCAATTGTTGATTACGTTTGGTATCATCGCTTTGTTTCACTTTACGTATGTTTTGTTTAGTCTTTATGAAGAAAGAAAGTGTTTTTTTTTTCACATGAAATTCATTTTAGACCAGCAATTCGAGGATATGTTCGAAGTAGTGAAGGTCAATGGCTCTATTGGACGTCCTATGTCGTATTTCTGGTAACATACATCGCATTAGCTTGCTGTCGTAGTGCTGGACGACGATTTCCAACGAATATGATTTTACTCGGAATATTGGTAAATGAGATTGTAAAAAGAAATTTGAATTCTATGGAATTTCTTTTCATTTTTAGACACTTTCAATGAGCTACATGGTATGAGAAACAAGATGATGAGCTTTCTTTTCACTAAAACGAGAATCTTATTTAGATGGGGATGATTTCGGCGGTCTACACCATTGATTCAGTCTTGATTGCTGTTGGCATTACAGTCTTTGTTTGTTTGGGTGTAACATTATTTTCCTTCCAAACAAAATTCGATTTTACATCATGTATGGGCGTTATCTTCGTTATTTCGTTGGCATTATTGGGCTTTGGAATTGTTTGCATCTTTGTACAATCAGATGTAAGAATTTTGAACCTTTGACTTCTTTCAAAGATTAATTTCGAAAATAATGATAGATCATGTTCAAAGTCTATGCTGGTCTCGGAGCTGTTGCTTTTTCAATCGTAAGTATCTAAACGATTTTCTTAATCAATAAAATTCATTGTCTTTGTTTTCAGTTCTTGGCTGTTGATACTCAACTAATTATGGGAGGTAAACGACACGAAATCAGTGCTGAAGATCACATTTTTGCTGCATTGATGCTTTATATCGATGTTGTTTACATCTTTTTATATATTCTTTCATTACTGGGTAACCGAGAGTGAAAAAAAAACCATCAATGGAATGTTCTCATCTAATCTATATATTTTATTCTGTAACCTCTCATTCAGCTTGACCTATTCGTCTCCTTCTCCTTTTTTTGCGTTGTAAAAAGTCGAAGAAGTTTGATTTGTCTTTGTCTTATATACATACTTAATCATGCGGATGAAAGAAAAAAAAATTCAAGAAAATCATTTATTCGTTTTGTCATTTGCTTGTCGTTCGTTTTTGATGAGAAAATAAAAAAATTCTGATGAAGGGAAAGTTTGTTCGAAATCGAAACAATCTCCATTGATTCTTATTGGCCAGAAAAACAAACCCGAAAAGTAAGTATCTCAGTAGCACGTTTCCTCTTTTGAGTAAAATGAATGAATGTTCGATGTTCACCACGCGATCGCGCAGGAAAAAAAACTAAGTAAGAGAGAAAAAAGAGAACGATGCGTGCAGTGTGTATCAACGAACGGACAAATATTTAGTGCCTCGCAAATAATTAGTGAAGTATTGCTTTTTAGAGGAAGAAAAATAGGAGAACGAGGAAAAAAACGTGCATATGTAATAAACGATCGTTATGTAAAGTAAAATATTGAAAATATGAGACTACGTCGTGGTAAACGTTCGATCAACTTTTTGTGCTTGATTCGTTGGTCTATTGTATTATGTTGTGTTTTCATATCAATTGTAATCCTTCATATTTTGTCAACAGTTATTAGTTATCATTATTTTACTCATACGTTTCAATTTTCCAATGTGTCTTTTTGGAAAGACGATCGAGTAACATCAAAAACTCCGTTATTACCGAACACAGAGATTGAAAAAGTAAATTTAACAAACTCAACGATTGTTATCACAGCTTGCTGTCGGAATGTCCGAAGAAATCTGCCAGGTTTTCAACGGAATATTCAATCAATAACAAAATTATTCGGTAACTATCGAATCTACCTCGGTGAATCCGATTCTGATGATGAAACATTAACATATTTGAATCAATGGAAGAATAACGATTCCGATCATGTTCGAGTCTATACATACGGACAGCAGCGATGGAAGCTCATGTCACGTACGTGAAAATTTCGTCGGATTGAGTTACACTTGTCGCTCTTGACATAAAAATTTCTTTTTTTAGGTACAAATCGTATCGCTTTTTGTCGCAATAATCTTCTAACTGAAGCGCGCAAAGAAATGCCATCATTCGATTATTACTTCGTTGTCGACGTCGATGTTGGTTCATCGAGCTCATTCGAAATCAGAGATTTTCTTTCAAATTTCATCTATCCTTCTTCATCATGGCTAGCAATGACAGCAACACAACGAGCAGAATACTATGACATATGGGCTCTACGAATTTCACCCATACTACCGTTTGATTGTTGGAAAAAAATCAAAGAATTAACATCGTATTTCATCGATCAATCATATTTAATCGATCGTTTAGTGAAAATCCATCAAAAATCCATTCCACGTCACGTACCTTTGATTGAAGTTCAGTCTGCGTTTGGTGGGGCTGCTTTATACAATGGAAAATATTTGAATAAACATTGCTCGTACAATGGAAATGATCAGGAGCGACAATTAACATTCTATTCTCAATGTGAACATGTACCTTTTCACAGTTGTATTCAAAAATACGCAAAACAACAGAAAATCTATATCAATCCAGTATTTCAAATTTGTTAATCTAGTCGATTTTCATCAGATACGATAGATGGCGCTTGAATTGAATGAAAAATTTCAAACATATATACTAAGAAACTTTAATTTACTTCTGTTATTTGAAAATCCATCAAAATTTGTTAAAAATATTTCCAATAAATTCCCATAATTGACATGTTCATTTCTGAATGGCTGGTTTTAAAATGACAAATCATTGCGTTATATTTCTCATTCATCTACATCTCATCTGTTGCACTTCAAAACTGAACTTCATTTTCATATTTCCTTTGAGATTCTAATATGTCTGCTACAAATGATCTTGGACAATGGTATAAGAGTATACCTAAGATGACACGAGCTTGGTTTACTGCTTCCATTGTCGTCTCTTTTGCACCACGACTCGGTTTAGTTCGACCACATAATTTAATCTTATTATTAACTCCGATCATCAAAAATTTCCAAGTATGTTTATCGTAAAGATGAACTTCTCCTATAAAATCTCATTTAGATCTGGCGATTATTAACTGCTGTACTATTTTATCCAGTGGGTTTTAATCTTCTGATAAATTTATTTTTTATCTATCAATATAGCACTCGTCTTGAGACAAGTAGATATGAATCTGAAAAGACAACTCCATTGTGAATGTATATTCTCTTCAGGTACATTCAATGGAAAACCAGCAGACTATGTATTTTGTTTATCATTCCTTTGGTTATGCAATATTATTGTTGGAATCATTCTTACAATGCCTGTAAGTATCTCTTTATAGATTTCCTTTAAATTTTTTAAAACTTTTATTAAAGGTCTTGATGGATGGAATGATCTTGAGTGTAATGTACATTTGGTGTCAATTGAATAAAGAAACCATGATGTCATTTTGGTTCGGTATGCAATTCAAAGCGATGTATATGCCATGGGTGATCATGTTATTTAATTGGATTATGACTGGATCGTATGTATTGAAATAAATTAAGAAATTTTCTTCAAGATGAATAATATTTTAGATTTTTAACACAATTGTGTGGAATTGTTATTGGTCATCTTTACTTTTTTCTCGTATTTAAATATCCACAAGATTTCGGTGGTGCGCGATTACTTCAAACTCCAAGTTTCTTGTACGCCATTTGCAACTTTCTTCCAAGATCTATTCATTATTTCGATTTTAGATATCGATATTTTCCAAATGAACAAACTGGAATCAGTGGATTCGGCTCAGCACCCATTCCACGTCAACAACCAGGTGCGGCTGACGCCAATGCAAATGCCGGTCGACGAATCTTCGGCGGTCAAGGCCACGTACTGGGTGATCGTTAAAAAATCCAATTAGTTTTCATTTTTTCGAAGTACTACACATAATCTAAGACAAATCTTTGTATAAAAACAAGATAAAATACATTCCTTCGATCATCTTAGTTCAAAGTTCATAATATTCTCATTAAGAAAAACAATCAATCCTAGTCGAATTTCTAAATCTGACACTTTTCATTGAATTCAAGATAAGATATCAATGAAAATCTATCTATGATATCGAACGTTGGTTACCACTGTTTTCCATTTGATATCAATCTTTGTTTAGTACATATCTTATTCGTATTGATTTGATATTGATAACTCAAATAAACAAAATCTCATTCGATTTTAAGTAATAATGACGGAATGTGTTGACTTGTTTTCGGCATTTTCTCGATTAACTCAAAGAGAGTTTGATAATCAATCAACTACCTTGACCTTTGTTGGATCTGCTTGTATTTGTTGACAATTAATAGAATTAAAGATGAAAATCAAGAATAACAGATGTTTTCATTGATTGAAAATTGAATTCGGTTCGAGAGAAACAATTTCATTGTTAACGAAACGTATGTTTCCAATAACTTATTGTTCCCTGACATATGGAAACACTTTGCTTTGCCTTCAAATACACAGCAGGAAAATACAAATATATTCTCGTCGATGTCAGTGTCATTTTGTCTATTTCTGTCTCTCCTATTTGTTAAACTCGAAGACATATTAAAGATTAATTCTATTGGTATAATTGAAGGAACGTTAATTCTTCTCTTCTCCCACACTGTCCAGATTAGAGATGATAATAACAACAAAAACAACAACAACAGTAGCATCGAGTTTCTTCGATTATAAACTGTAAAATACGCTGTTTTTCTTTTCTTCATATTACTCAAGTATATCTAGTTGGAAAGAAAAAGAACATCGAGAAATAACACTTCCTTCTATCTTTATCCAACTGGACGAGCGTTTCCGATATTCTTCTTTTTCTTTGTACAGACATAATTACTTTGAAAAGATTTTCTCCGTTTCTTTCCTTTCCTTTCCTTTCCTGTCGATGTCGATATCCTATACATAAGGAAAAAAGAAAGGAAGATCTCTCATCACTATCGTATCAATGTGTTTGTAAGGATAATACATAGGAGAAGAAGGAAGGAGAAAAAGAACAACAATAACAACAACAACAACAGTCAAGCAAGTTTCCTCAATATCAACACTTCTTGTTCTTTCTTCTTCGAGAGAAAAGCAAGAAGACGACGACGAGGAGGAGGAAGGAGAAGAAGAGAGAGCAAGAGGAACTGGTGGTGTTTCTTTTTCATCTATACATATCTCCTGCGTATTTTTTCCTTCTGGTCCATTATTCATTCTTATTTAATCATCAGGAAAACGAGTACAGAACAGCATCGACATTTCTCCCTTGTTTCATCGGAATTACATATAGTCGTTATCCTCATGTAAAACAAATCCAGATGACAACGAACAGTAGTTCAATCACGACTGGTCATGCATATCGATTGCGACCGTTGAATACCAGTGGATCAACAAACAGTTCCACTCTGAGCGGATCATTGACGAATTCGGGAACAACGAATACGAATTCGAATTCGTCATACTATGGCGCATCAACATCTACGACACCGGTTGTTGCTTCGCCGACATGGAGTTATTCATCACCAAGTCAATTAGCACGAAAATATGCAAATATCGCACCAATCTGGTGCCATATCACCAAACCACGACAATTGAAAAAGAAATTTGCTTCGACCTTTCATCAAGCTCAATCGTTAGTCGGTTTCTATAATGAAGATCGTGCACCGAGTGAACGACGCGGTTCGATAAATCAATCTCAAGCATCATCATCATCATCACAATCTCAACAGCAGCAGCAACAAAATTCAAAGTCCAATCAACAGACACCATTAACTCTTCATAATTCACATCATTATGATTCATCAAGTAATTATCGTCCAACATATTCATCGCATTATACTCCACATGATTCCAATGCTGAGTCTTTATCGACAACGAGTACAGCAGCAACGTCTACAGGAAATTCAAAAGCAAAAAAGAAATATACAGGGAGTGCTTTAACAGTACATATTCCATCGCGGTATCAGTCACCACCGTCAACATCTATCGAGGAGAAGTTTTCAACTCCAACTGAACGTAAAGCTCGAATCGATCAATTGAAAGATTTAGTTTTCAATACTCGTGTGAAAGACACAATGATTGGACGGACAGATTCGAAAAATCGCTCGATGACGAACCTACTCAAAGCAAATTCTTTCAAACGTCTGGACCAAATATCAAATTACAAAGATGAGGATCATCAACAACAACAACCATCGAACATACCTCCGACAACTCCAACAAGGAAAGATTCCCATTATTATCATTATCATTTACCAACCGGCCCAATCACGCCAGCACTGACAGAAAATCTCAACAGACCTATTCTACCTGCAACACATTCATCATCATCGACAACAACAGCAACTACACCAACTTATAATTATGATTATTTACGAGCAAAATCCAAAGAACATGTTCGACCTGCATATACCGAATTTACATATCCAACGGATAGTGGAACGACAACGACAACACCAACAGCATTAACTCGATCATATGATGATCATAATTATATAAGTAAACCTTCATCAACCATTGATAAAAACTCTTCATATTCAGCCGTGACTTCTTATCCAACATATCAAACTCCATCATCATCAAAACGACGAATTAAAAAATATCTACTCGCCAAAGGTACAACGAATGCTGGTCTATCACATCAAACAGAACCAATCGTCAGCAATTTCGAAAATATCTCGTTAGCCGATGAAGAAAACTCCAATATAATCATTGCAAATACACATGCATTAACCCCATCATCACCACCACCACCGCCACCACCGACGACATCGAAACCTGTTGTTCCATCACTTCATTCAACACCGCCAATTCCAACATTGAGTCCACCACCATCTCCACCACATGTCTCATCAAGTAATACAAACATCGATTCAGTCGTTTTTTCCACACCTAATGCTCAATTATCACCAAGTCCACCGAATCTGAATAATGTTAATAACCAAAAGAATCCTTCTTCTCTTCTTTTACCATTGACTGCTTCATTAGCAACCCTCAATAAACAACAACAACAACAACAGCAATTTGATTCAACTTCGGAACTTCTTCCACATAGTGGCAAAGAACAATCACCATCTCGATCGATGGTGGCTTCAACAGGAGAAGAAGGGTGCGCATCTTTTCTTTGTTTTCCCTTTTTTGCATGCATCTCCAATAAAACCTCGTACCAGATCAAGTATCTAATGAACGTTATCGTAGGAAACGGTATAATCAAAAAGATTCATCCGAAACTCGACCAATCGTCAATGGAACTGGTGTTGAACGAGCAGAAAGTATCACAAGTACAACCTCAATAGCAAAACGACAAAAAAATACCAATTACAGCACGAGTACTCGATATCAACCGAAAACTTCGACATCACCGACAACTCGTAAAGTAAGTCGTGATTTTGCTCATATATTTATTATTCAATATCCATACGAAACACGTACGAGGGGTTAATGGCATGTTGATGACTTGTGTCAAATGTTCATAGATATGAGAATTGACCGAATAAACGTCTTTTTTGTTCGTTCTTTCACATACATAGTCTACTCCGTTATTCTTCTATTCATTTTTATGCAATAAAACCATGTTGACACCTCTCATTTC